AATCTGCACTCTAGCTCCCGAGGTCGTTCATGGGTAGGTAGTGTGCAATTCACTGATGAGCTTGGATCACTAGACATGAAAACATCCTCAACTAATAGTTTTCATATCTTAAAGTCCACATGAAGCGGAAGCTGCGACTGTTTTATCGTATTGTGATGCAGTGAATTTAAATATTAAATGAGAATACAGTGGGCGTGGCTTGTTTTTTGTACTGCGACGTGATTGGATGTAGGCGTGTCATTTAGAAAATGGGTTTGGAGAGAGTTATTACAACTTAACAGACTCCACCTGCTCACCATTTCTGGTTGATGTCATAACTGACAGCTGGAGGGGCGTGGTTAAGTGTGTTAGCCCCGCCCACTACCTCAGACTAGGCTGTTTCTCGCTATGCGTTCTTGTTTGTACTTGCGCTCTTGTGTCCTCGTGAAACGTCATCAAACTTCGCCAGTTCTGTTCCTCTTCAAAGTTCACATCTTGCCAAGTGCAGATAAAATTCCCGGATGTGTACTTGCTCCGCCCCTTTGGCCAAGGATGCTTCGAGAGGTGACATGTGGTATCTCAGAATGCATTGCAGCGTAACCAGCGAAAGCTAATGGCGGAGAAGGAAACCCGCACGGTCTTCTTTAGCTGAAAAATAAAACGGTTCAGCAAAATGTTTGTGTGCAGTATATTAAAATACAGCCTCCTCTCACTTACACAGACCTGTTGAGTTTACGGCATGTGCATCATATTTAAGGCAAGTATAATGAGCTGAAGCGAACAGTACTCTCTTACTTTACTCTTTCAGTGGATCAGTCATTTAATTCAAGCAATCAGTTCAGTTGTACCTCCACACACACTGAGCTTTAACTCTGCTGTTCAGAGTGTGTTGGTGTGAGTGAAGTGATGCTCCACGCTGCCCTCTGCTGCACACACACACACACACAAACACAAACACACACACACACTGATTTTGATGTGAAATGTAAATGTGTGCTGTGTTGTTTTACACATACAGTGTAATAATATATATTATTAATATTATAAAATTCAATCATAAATAATCTCAGAAAAAAAGCTTTTTATCTTTAATAATTATTTACAAGTCCAGTTAAAACTGATTGATTAACCGATTGACTGTTTGACTTATTTCCCTGATAGACTGAATTATTGACATAATGATTGGCTGTTTGATTGATTAATTGGCTGACTGATTGGTTGTCTGATTTATTTCACCGATTGATTGATTGGCTGAATTATTGACAGATTGATTGATTGGGTGTTTAATTAACTGGCTGACTGATTGGGTGTTTGATTGCTTAATTGGCTGACTGACTGATTGGCTGTTTGATTGAATAATAAGCTGACTGATTGGTTTTCTGATTTATTCACTGATTGATTGACTGTGATTGGCTGAATTATTGACAAATATATTGATTGGTTGTTTGATTAATTGGCCAACTAATTGGTTGTCTAATTTCACAGATTGATTGTTTAGTTGGCTGAATTTTTGACAAACTGATCTATTGGCTGTCTGATTGATTGATTGATTGATTGATTGATTGATTGATTAGCTGCTTGATTTAACAGATTGATTGTTTGATTGGCTAAATTTTTGAGAGGCTGGTTAATTGATTGGCTGTTTGATTGATTGATTGATTGATTGATTGATTGATTGATTGATTGATTGATTGATTGATTGGCTGACTTATTGGTTGATTTTACAGATTGATTGATTAATTGGCTAATTCTTTTTACAAACTGATTGATTGGCCGTTTGATTGATTGATTGGCTGACTGATTGGTTGATTGGCTGACTGACTGGTTGTCTGATTTATTTCACTGATAGATTAATTATTTGACTGATTGATTGGCCGGATTATCGACAGATTGACTGTTCAATTAACTGGTTGACTGATTAAATGTTTGATTGATTGATTAATAGGATGACTGATTGATCGGCTGTTTATTTGATTAATAGGCTGACTAATTGATTGGCTGTTTGATAGATTAATAGGCTGACTGATTGATTGGCTGTTTGATTAATAGGTTGACTGATTGATTGGTTGTCTAAATTATTTCACTGATAGATTGTTTACCTGTTTGATTGGCTAAATTATTGACAAATTGAATGATTGGCTGTATGATAGATTAATTGGCTGACTGATTGATTAATCAAAACAACAAAATCGATAAAACTAAATATAAACAAAAAAATCATATTATTGATTAAAATCATAACATTATTGTTAAAATACATCTCCAAACTTCATGTTTTGCAAATAACCCATAAGAATTTCTCCATATAAACTGAATATGTGTTCAGTTTTTCATTCATCAGGTATTGAGTCAATGTGTAGTTGATGAGTTCCAGATCTAGAGATTTACTATTTCAGAGCTGTATTTCTAATATCATTTAGACATTTCTCCACTTCAGAATCACGTTCAAGGTTTCCCAATGGTCGCTAAATGTAACTGTCATATTTCATCATGATTTCTCACCCATGGGCCTCGTAATCTAGAGGCCTTTGCCTTTCATATAAGCCACTTCTGATAACAAACGATCAACTAGAAGTCAAGTTATTGTATGCTGCTCCTAAAACTTGGATAGGCAACAAGACTTTTGTTCGGTAGTGTAAATGATCCCCAACTATCTATTTTAAAGGAATAGTTCAGCCAAAAAATGAAAATTATGCATCACAATACGGGGAAAAAAAGTAAAAGTGGTCACCATTTCCAGTTCATGGGGACTTTAAGTACTTTTGAAAGCTTCAAAATAAAAGTCACTATCATCCAACACCATTATAAAGCATGGAAGAGTGCGGATAATATTTAAAACTTCCTGACTGTGTTCGTCTGGATTCTTAATTTATCTTACTGTACTCTCCATGCAATTAACAAACCATTAACTAAGACTTTTAGCTCAATAAACTACTAATTAGCTGCTTATTTACAGTTAGCAAGGCTGTGGTTGGGTTTAGGTATTAGTGATATAAAATAAGATGCTTTATAAGTGCTAATAAACAGCTCATATGTTAATAATAGATGTAAATAATGTGAATTATTACTCAAAGTGTTACCGAAAGTCAAACACACAGAAGATGGCTTGAGGGTGAGTAAATTATGGGGTTATTTTCAATAGGGTATATGCACACAGGAGGACTTTTAATTTTTAGTAACCCAGTTAAAGCTCTGCCGGTGAACTGTTATAAAGTGTTACGGTCTGTTTTCTTTAATAATCACTGATCTTCACTGCCTGATTGATATACGATATAAAGTGGGTCTCAGAATGTCCAGGAAGCAATGCATTAAACTAAAATATGAGCATTTATTTCACTCCAGTATCTTCAATGGAGTTTCTGCGCTCGCCTGCTGATCCTGACGAAGCACCTTTCATCTCGTTTTACACTTAAATAACTAAAGGAATGCTTTAACTAATTAAATTTCGATTACATCACTACATCAATGCTGTTGAAGGAACTTTATAATATTGAAAAAGTTAACCAGAAGTTTATCGGTAGGGGAATACATGATGTGCATATGCTGTACGCTATTTTAGGTGAACTATTTCTTTAAGAGAGTGGCATTTCATTGGCATTTGGATACAGTTTTTTCTTATATAACCAAGAAATCAATCACAACACACTGAAGCTCTTTATCTGCAGCCGAAAAACAGACGAAACATCACACACACGGCTCACGGACACTGGTTCATGCTCCTCGGGGAATTTATTAAGTGCTTGTTTTTTTCGTGTTTTTCCGTTCATGTCACTTGCGCTCCTGTCTGGAATGGTGGTGCGGACAGTGAAGCAACAAGAGTCATGTTCTCAGGCTAGAAAAATCATTTACATCACAATTATTAGTAGTATTTGTACTGTGTTTTTTTTTTCTTCTTCTTGGTTTTACCGACTTTGAGACCACAAACATTCCAGCAACACACTCTAGGGTAGATGAGAAACAATCAGAAAAAAGCTCGACGTTTTGCATAGTATTAAATGAACAAAGACATTGAGTTTCTTTTATTTACAATTATTGTATAGATTATTATAAAATTCATAAAAACAAGATGGATGAACACTTTTTTTTTCATTTACCCATAAATTGCTAGTGCGCCAAAAGTACCAGTGGCGTCGTACGCTCTTTGTTCCACAAAAACGCATGCTGCTAAGTACAGTACATAGAAGCTGATGTATTGCAAGAAATATTATTATTATTATTATTATTATTAGTGATTATTAGATCCTTTCGATTTATTGGTTTTAAACTGCATCCGTTATTCGTCCCGTCAACACAGGGCGCAGAACTAAACTGAATAAGTGGTTAAAAATCAGGTCTGGATTTACCTCACACACCACACTAACTGTAGCTCATTCTTCTGCTTCACTGTGAGAATTAATAAGGCTTTTAAAAGGGATCATTCACCTCAAAATGAGGTTTACATCCCTTTAAAAGCAATAAAGGGTGTTAGATTAACGGAAAAAACGCTCAAGAATATACGTCTCTGCCTGAGCTAACAGTTAAAGCTTGTGCACCTTATCTTGACGAGGAAAACGCTCCAAAAACAAAAGATCAAATTGAATTAAAAATGAGTTGCATATTAGGTGTGTGACATCATGCCTTTTCCAATCGCTAAAGAATACCAATGAACGCATGGGCGAGGAGATTATTAGCGTGCCTTCCGACAGACCCCGGTTTGTCCATTCGCTTCCAGAGTACGATAAATAGTTAACGACTAGTGAATACTGCTGAGATGCTAAGAGTATATTTACTGACCGCAGGAAGACAAGCTTGATTTGAACACAGAAGCACATCTAGATTTACACCACAGAGATTCATTCATATCCGGATAGTGCAGAGAAGGATCATAAATGTGTGTGTGTGTGTGTGTGTGTGTGTGTCTGTGTAAATATATATATGTACTGTATATATATATATATATATATAGATATTTATATATATTTATATACACTTAGTTTTTTTCGGTTTGGGTTTTTCTTATTTTTTTTTCCCTTTTTTTTAAGAAAAGAGTCAACAGCAACATTCCTTCTTGGTTTTGTTGCATTACATGAATCCAAAAGTGTGTCGTCAGCTCGGGAGCTGGTCTCAATTCCTTCAACCAAAAGAAAAAGGCAAAAATAAACGTCCAAAAAAAGAAGAATCAACACAATAGATCACAATATTTGAACACAGGTTTGATTTTCCATACAGAGATGCCAAATATAACTTAATTTACATGACATAAAAGCCATCGCAGCTTCTGAACTCAAACTATTTTAAGTAATACGTACTTCTAAAGAAGATATTAAAACCCAACCTGAGATATACGTACACACATGTTTATATCTCTGCTCACGCTTGAGGCCGACCACAAAACCGTTGGATTTCCCGCACGCGTTTAATACTACGATGCCACGTTATTGATATACCCCACTAAATTTTGGTTTCTTTCGTAATCCTCTAAAAATATCTACAGCATTTGACAAAAATAGCAGGCAAGTCCAGCGCACGACTGGTAATAAAACACCTAGAGTCCGATATTACAGGAACAGCGTGAGCTGTTCACACTACGTACGTCTGCTGCGTGGTTTTCAACCCTACAAAGGAACCAGGACGCTATTATCTACAGGTTTGTAAACAAATTACATTCTCTTTAGGACATAAATAAGTTAAAAGTAGTTATTGAAGCAGAACAAGGCAACATGCCGACAAATAAAGATAAACTCTGTAAATATATATTTATAACATGTCTATAAATATATATGTACGCTTAATAAATTCTATAATTTCCATGGGTCTTCCCCCCCCCCTGACAGGTGCATATCTACTGTGCAAGTTGAGCCCCTGCGACCTGGATACACCTTAATCAATAACCAAATAAATCTATACACTTAGATACATGCCACACGCGCACACACACACACACACACAATACTCACAGATCAGTGAATCAAAGTAGCAACGTCCCAGCAACAATAAAAAAAAAAGAAAACCAAATCAAAAATCAATGAATGAAAAAATCCAGAAAGAAGAACCCGGGTCGGTGGATGTACAGTACATTCATGCAGGAGCCACGATAATAGCTGATTTAAATTACTCGTAATAGTTTGTGTCGTTTCCTCAGGAAATGCGCGCCGTATTGTTTTTCTCGAGTCGTTGTTCAGTAAAAGAGTGTGTCGCCAAACACACACACACACACGTGTTCAGTCAGCAGTGCGCGATCCACATGGAGAGCCGCGCTTTTAAACAGACAGTCTAAAGAGGATTATTATCGAGCTAAAGCGATGTCTCCAGACTATGAAGCGGACTCCCGGGACTGGAGGAAGCGGCTGATTTACTGGTGTCGGTGGTCAGGTTTATTCCGCTATCGATGGCGTTGTTGTTTTTGTTGGGGGACGCCGGCTGACTGGAGTTTTTCCTCGCCGCCTCGTCGTCGATATCGGTGTCGTCTATTAGAGGAATGTGAGGTGTGGAGTCCTCTATTCTGAACTCCGGATGCGTCATGAAATTGTGGATGGAGGTTCTGGATTCGGGTTTTTCCAAGCCTTCATAGAGCGAGCTACGAAATGCGTTCACGACACGTATCTGCGTGGGGAAAGAGATGAGCGTCAGTGCATCAGACAGTCAGTCACAAATAGGAGGAGAAAAATCTGTGGGTTCACCCACCAAAAACAAAACAAAAGCACCAGTAATAACCAAGCAAAACCAAGATAAAACAATGAGACTGTGAAAGGAAAACACCGGCAATGCTCTTATGTCCCGTACAGTACACAATACAAGCTCCAGTGTTGTATACCTAGAGACAAGCATTGTTCATTAGACAGAAATCAATCAAATAAAATAGCGGGGGAATTAAAAGAAAAGGCATGCAAAGGTCTTGAAAAGAGGAACGAATTAGATATTCAGATCCAGGATGAGTTTCAAGGTGAACGTAAAGTCAAACACAAAACAGAGAGAGAGAGAGGAAGTGTACACAGACTGATGACAGGAGATCCTATGCCTCGAGAGCATAGAGTCACAACACCATGATGGAAGCGAACCAATAGCATGACAAGCCAACACAACACAACTCGACGATAACACACACACACACGCACACACAACATGCAGCTCAGGACAACACCATGTGGAGATGAACACAGGCACACAGACTGTGGAATAGGAAAAGACCAGAACAAACCAAAGGCTGTTCTTTCAACAACTCCATGCGTCTCTGTGTAAACACTCAAGTATAGGCCCAAAAGGGTTTATTTCAGGGTCCCAGAACTGTACTGTGTGGAACTGAGTTCAAATACTGTCGCAATAGCGGAGAGTAGCTAACAGTCCATTCAAACACTTTCAAATCACTAAAGCTTTCTGAAAACTACAAACAGTACAAGCTAGTCATGATTCTCAAATTATTAATGCTCTACAGCAGGGGTGTGCAAACTCAGTGCTGGAGCGCCGGTGTCCTGCATAGTTTAGCTCCAACTTCCTTCGACACGCCTGCCTGGAGCTTTCTGGTATACCTAGAAAGAGCTTGATTAGCTGGTTCAGGTGTGTTTAATTGAGGTTGGAGCTAAAATATGCAGGACACCGGCCCTCCAGGACTGAGTTTGGGCAGCCCTGGTCTATTGTCTTGAAGTGAGCTGCCTGCCTAACTCCAGAGATATTATGAAGCTGCAGTGTTCACCATCCTCACACTGTACCGCGATGCATTTCTGACTCTTTGTACTCTGTGACAATCTACACCTTTACTCATTTCCTGCTTTCAAAAGAGCTTCGGGATAAAGTGAGGGTAGGAGGAGGCCACAAAAAGACTGTTAAAGGCTGGAAACGTTATTTGGAGTGTGATTTGATTTCAAGCTGTATGACAAATTAAGCCCTTATTTCAAAAAGGTATGATGGTTTTCTATAGGCTCCGTCTCTGTGAAAAAAACGACAAAAGTCATGTTTTTGTAATGAAATCCCCCCTCGGGATTCTCCCTGCAGCACATTCAGCCCCAATCTTAAACACATCCACATCCATGTGGTTGCTCGACCCAAAAACAAGTTCAAGTTTTGGTTTGTTTCAAAACAACCCAGGCTCATTATGGATACATACCCTGGTATAAATTTCTGTAGAGCATGAAATATGTCCCAGGAGCTTTGTTTTTTAGCAGGTTTTTGTTTTCGTAAATCCACCAGAGGTCGCTGTGTACACTTTTTCAGAGCTTAAATTTCTCTCGCAAGTGCCATTCGGGCCTGCTGTTCTCAACCGACTGACTAACCGATGCCCCCACCCACCTACCGACAGTGTTTTAAAAAGCACCGATTGACCCGCCCACTGCCTTCCCTAAACCCAACCAATAGTGTTTTCAAAAGCAATCCAAAAAGGAAAAGCCCTCGAGGCCGTTTGATTTTTACCACGCTTTCAGATTTTACCACGTTCTCACCCTGTTATTTACTTGTTTATTTTAATTTTTGCCTTTTGTTTTTGTTCGTCCTGCTTTCTGGAGCTGCTCGTCGCCTGACTTGAACCGTGTTGTCGGGATCAACTACTCTCTGCATCTCAAGTTCGCTGACATACGAGGCAAGCTACTGGGTAAACTGGTAACAGAGAAAAAGCTGTCATTAACAATAATAATGCAAAATCCCTTAATAAAAACACAATGAGGTTTAAAATAAGCCTATTTCACTCCACCAGCTATAACTGTGCCTCGTATTAAATAACCAAACTCTGGCTACACTAGTGTTGTCACGATACTATAATTCAGTACTGGATCAGTACTGAATTTTTAAAATAGTCCATTTTAAGCTAATATTTGAGCGTGTTCTTAAACAGCGCTGATTTGCCGTTGTGTGCTCAACAGAAATGACTGTGATTGGCCGTGAAGGTCATCAGTTCACCAAACTCACTGCTGTATAAACACAGATACAGGGACACTGGAGCGTTTTAAAGCCACAAAGAGCTGACGATTCCTCAGCGAATCGTTCATGTCAACTTATAAACAGACTTGCTGATCTTCATGGCTCCAATGTGCCTGTATCTGTGGTTACCTTCAGTAAACAGCGGTGAGTTCGGTGCACTAATGACCTTCACAGCCAATCACAGTCACTTCTGTTTAGCACTCGTTTAAGAACGCGCTCAATAGCGCTAAAATGTTAGCGGGAAATGGACGTTTTTAATCTACAGTACCAATTGGTACCGAGTTCTAGTGTGCTGAAAACATTAAGCTACATCTAAAAAACATAAAGGGACAGTTCACCCAAAACTGAGAAATCACAAATCTTTTTGAGTTTTTTTTATCTGTTGAACACAAAATAAAGATATTCTGAAGAAATCTGAAATCGCTGACTTCCACTCACTCACTTTTCTTTGGTTTGGTCCCTGATTTATCAGGGGTCGCCACAGCAGAATGAACCACCAATTACTCTGGCATACATTTTTACAACACAGGCTCATTCTGAAAACGTAGTCCTGCGGATGTTTCTGGAGGCTGTAAATTATGTAGCCGGAGGTACGTATGTCTGCATTTTATTTTTTTAAGCGAACGCTACGGGCGGTATGACGTCATTCCTTTTGGCGCTTACCGGCTGACCGCTTACTTCCGTGTGGAGGGCTTTCTCGCCACAACCAGTTTGTCCAGTTAGCTCGTCACGTACGTCGGCGGACTTGAGAGGCATAGAGGAGTTGACCACAACAACGACGACCAGGTTTCAGTCGGAGCGGTTCCAGAAATCAGGTAAGACAAAACCAGAATCCAAAAAATAAAGAGAACAAGTAAATAACATGGTGAGAATGAAGTAAAATCCGAAAACGGAAGACGGCTTTTGTAAACTGTCGGCTGGGTTTTGGAAAGTAAGAGGGCGGGCGGGTAAATTGGTAAAATTGGTTGGGTTTAGGAAAGGAGGAGGGTGAGTCAGTCGATTGGGCAGTCGCCCAGTCAATCATTTAGTCGGTCGACAGGGGCCTCCAGTGGGTTTACGCGAAAACACCGCGTGCGCGAACGGCATTCGTGAGAGCCATTTGAGATGTGAAAAAGCGCACACAGCGGCCTCTCGTGGATTCACGAAAAACAAAAACTGCAAAAATATGTATCACCCGGGATGTATTTCGCAGTCTCCAGTAACGTCCACGTTACTACGTTTTCAGTATGAGCATGAGTTGCATTTTTATGTGGCGGATACATAACCCTAACCCTTGACTTTCATAATAGGAGAAAACAAATACAACGGAAGTTACAGCTTTCTTCAAAATATCTTCTTCTGAGTTCAAGAGAAAGTAAAAAAAAATTGCAACGAATAATTGAAAGAATAGTCATTTGTGGCTGAACTGTCCCTTTAACCAAGCCAAAGAGCAAGCTTACAAAGCCGACACAAACTGGTCTGGAAGACAGATGAAAAGAGGACCAACAGAGATGAAGACTACACCCTAACGTTTTCATGACCGACAGACTAAAGCCACGAGACACAATGGCTCTCCATCTACATCACACAGACGACAACAAAGACAAGACTATGAGGAGAAAGAGCCACTCTCTAGTCTTCACACGCCTCCGCAGCTGTGTGGAGAGAAACAGCAGAAGAAAAACACAACAACACAACCTCCTGCGAGTAGTACATAAATGCATTTAGTAGAGGTTTTAATCAAACAGCCAACAACAGGCGCAGTGATATGCAACACTCAGTTTATTAGACAGTAATCTTCAACAGCGCAGCCTGGAGGCTTTTGTCAGGAGTGGGGAATAGTACCGTTGGCTATACTTGAATGTTTACCCAGCCTGGTGAGTTTGTTGGTGGAATATTAGTTCACATCAAATTTTTTGCGACGGACAATGGAGGCACTCACAACCTGAAATTCACTTCGTAGGCTGCACCCTTAGTCCAGGGTTCTTAGCACTCTGGGGAAAACAAACACATGGTACATTGAAACACATGTTCATCTGAGAAGTGGCTTAAAGATGATTTGATAAACAGTGACATGAAGAGGAAATCAGAAGCAAAGCAGATCTTCAGGGATGCCCTTCGACCTTTATATAAGGCTTTAAAGGTTTTTAGATGTTAGTATCAGTATTAGTTTTTAGGATATCTTCAAGCTAGTTTTTGGCTGCTCCAAAACAGTCACACAATTCACGTTTATAAAATATTTAAACATGTAAAACTTGTAGTTGGTCTCCTCCGCCAAATATTTCTCAAGCGCTGTTTAACAGAGATATTTTCAACATATAAGGCTCAAAGTCTAAAGCGCATGGTGCAAAACCATTAGGGACATGTCTGAATCCAATTTTAAGCACAGAGAAATACTTTCTGAGCCCCGGCACTTGGTCTAACAGGGTTGTGCTTATTCTCTTAATGAGTTTTGGCTGTGTTTTGAGCACAACCTGCATTAAACCAATCAGAGTCTCGTCTCCTATTCCCTTTAAGAGTCAAGTGTGTCGCTCCATGGCGCATTTGCTCTTTACATGGCGTATTTTGTAAGTGTGAAAACTGAACACTTCACTAGCGAGAAAACAGTTAAACAGAGCATCTGCAGCGCGAGGATAAAGAACGAGCCTCCTCCATTCAGTCTCTTTACTCCTTTACTTTGGTGGAGTGAGGAAACGGGAAACTCACTCCACTGAACA